GTTTGGGGACTTGTTCTGAGGGGCACCTTTCTGGGCCTGCAGTTTTCTCTTTAACAGCACTCACCCCTCTTGCCCCTGAGGCTCAGTCCTGGGCTGATGGGCCGTGCCCACGCCCTGACACCCACACCCTGTCAGGACTGGGCCTCCGGGCATCACTGGATGTGGCTCTGGGCTGCGGCCCCCACTTAGAACTCCCAGCACAGCTGGGCCACCCAGCACAAGTGAAGATCCCATTCCCATCAGGTTGGGTGTTCGAAAAGAGTTCAATACAAGGGTTGTTTACGGGGCTGTAGTAGGTTCAAGGGGTCACCTAGGTTGGCGCATCACTGTGGGGGTTAACAACAGGAGGAGCCCTTTCAGGGTGTTTGGGTGGCTTAGTCAGTTTACTGTCTGCTTTCGGCTCAGGTCGTGATGGGGGGAGTGGTGGGATTGAGAAGTCTATTGGGCTCCCTGCTGGGTGGATAGCCTGCTTTTCCCTGTCCGTCAGGGCACCCCCACAGTCGTGTGTGCACGCACACAAGCGTACACACACACACACACACACACACACACACACACGAGCGTGCTCTATCTCTCACTCTATCTCAAATAAATACAATCTTTAAAAACAAAAACGGGCGTCTGGGTGGCTCAGTGGGTTAAGCCTCTGCCTTCGGCTCAGGTCATGATCTCAGGGTCCTGGGATCGAGCCCCACATCAGGCTCTCTGCTCAGCGGGGAGCCTGCTTCCCCCTCTCTCTCTGCCTGCCTCTCTGCCTACTTGTGATGTCTGACTGTCAAATGAATGAAAAAAATCTTAAAAAAACAAAAACAAACACAAAAACACAAAAATGGGGAGCCCTTTCCATCCCTAGGCCTGCAGGGGGCAAAGTAGGGAATGGTTACTCAAACCTGGTGTGGGCCCGCGCCTTAGTCCCGTTCAGTTCCTGTGATCTGTCCACCAGAGGGATCTCTCAAGACATGCGCTCTTGTGGTCCTCTAGATAAAGGCCCAATATCTCAGCATATAGCCCTGCAAGGGACCTGGGAGAGGGGTGGCTATGGGGTGGGGTGTGTTGACTGCAGGCAAGAGTTTGGGGAAGGAGTAGGGGAGGAGCAGCCCCACCCACACATTCTCCAACTTTCTACCTTTGCCTTCTATTTGCCAAGCCCAGCAAGAGGCCCTGGAAGAGGAGCCCCGGGACAGAGGAGGGCGGAAGGTGGACTGGGAAAGGGAAGTCAAGACAAGCTGCTGTCACAGGCCCCTACTACGGGCAGCACAGAGGCTTGGGGGCACTGAGGCAGCCTGTCCCCAAGGGGAGTGATTCAGGCTAGTACTCAGGGGAAAGTGATCAGTGGGTTGAAGGGGATCCTGTCTTTCCTTTTTCAGTTTCTGGCATGTGCATGGCCCTTGTGCTGGTTATAAAAGACAGACCTCTACCCCAGCCTCACTGAACCCCCAGAGTAGCAGAAGGCACCCACATAACCCAGGGTTTGGTGTTGGGCTGGGGAGCCACAAGGGCTGTGGGAACGTAGAGGGGAACCCCTAATTCAAACTTGACATCTTGGAAGGCTTCCTGGAGGAGGTGGTGTTTTAAGCTGGGACCTAAAGGGTGAGTCAGAGGGGGTGAGGGGGATGTATGTGGTGGCTGCAGAGCCAGGAAGCATGAGGAGTCCCATTTTATTGCTGGGAACAAAATTGGAGCTTTACCTTAAGAAGCCCTTAAGGGGAGCCCTTGCAGGGTTTAGGGTGGTGGGGATATGTGTGTGGGGGTGCTGGCTACTGATTTATTCTTTAGGAAGATCAAGACTGGGATCATGGAGAGAGGTGGTGAGACCAGAGCTGGGTCAGTGGTGAAGAAAAGAATGTTCTGGAGGTGAGAGTGGCAGAGTAGGGGGAGTCGAGCACCAGTCTGGGTGACCAGGTAGAACTGGAGAGACAGGTGTGAGTTGTCCGTGGAGGCCTAGGAGCTCTTGGGAGGTGCTGTCCTGGGAGTCTTTAGGGCCTGGACTGTGCTGCATGGACAGGGACTCTCAGAGGCTCAGCTGGCTCGGAGAGAGAAGTGAGGGCAGGGACCTCTGGGAGCACACTGGGGAGAGGGCAAGAGGAGAGTTGTGGGTGGATGGTGAGGAAGGTGAGGATAAGGTGTTCTGGGACACCAGCAGGGAGTGTAAGGCGGAAATGCAGAGGGAGAGGGTGAGGACTTAGGGGAGGACCCTGTGGTGCCAGTGGCCTGGGACACGGGAAGAGCAGAAGGGAGTGACTGCGTGTGCCCTGAAGTGAGGTGTGAGCCATTCCAGGTAGACCAGACGGGAAAGGGGCAGAATTTAAGGGAGGGTCTGCTTCTAAGCAGGGAAGGGCACCGGCTGGGACGAAAAGCAGGTAGGGGAAGCCTGAGGAGACAGGCTGTCAGAGGGGTGGGTCTGAGCCCAACAGGCCCTGCTGCCCGGCCCCTCCATCCCATACACAGACAGACGTGGCCTGGCACTTCTTTGCTGAGCTAGTCCAGTTGGTCTAGGTCCTTGCATCAGGTGTCCTGCCTGTACGACCCTCAATCCTGTTGAATACACTTTTTTTTTTTTTTAATGTAAACTACATGCAATGGAAGACTTGAATTCATGACCCTGAGACCAAGCGTTGGATTGGAGGGCCCTCAGTCTTGTTGAGACCCCCACGTTTGGCACAGGGAGTTTGGTTTCTGTCTCAGAGCAGCTGATTTCCCCAGGCGGCTTGTGGAAGTGACCACTTCCCCGCTTTGCAGACTTGGTGTCCTCCTCCCTCGCGTGGACTCATGCCTGTCGGGGCCATGGCTGCGATTTCTCAGCCATGGTGTCCATGCCGCCCGGTTCTTGGTGTCCAGGACCGCCCGGTCTGCGCACAGCTCTGGGTGGGCCATGGAGCCCTCACCGGACTCCCCCAGAAAGGTTTCCCCCATTTGTCTGTGAGGTGTGGGAAGATGACAGGGCATGGGGACCCCAATCCTGAGAAGGTCAGGGAGGATGAGACCAGTGGAGAGGCCCCTAGAGGAAGTGGGGTGGGGGTGTCAGAGCAGAGAGGCCAAAGACAGGTGACAGGACGAAGAAAGGACAGCTCTTTTATTATTATTATTTTTAATTGCCTTGGAAATGTGGGAAAACATTGCATTTCCTTTTTTTTTTTTTTAAGATTTTATTTAGTATTTGACAGAGAGAGACACAGCGAGAGAGGGAACCCAAACAGGGGGAGTGGCAAAGGGAGAAGCAGTCTTCCCGCAGAGCAGGGAGCCAGATGTGGGACTCCCCTGAGTACCCTGGGATCATGACCCGAGCTGAAGGCAGATGCTTAACGACTGAGCCACCCAGGAGCGCCATGAAAGAAAGGACAACTCTTAGGAGCTTTGCTCAGGGCAGGGACTGGGTTATGAAGAGAGACCAAGTCTGTGGGAGGCAGAAGGCTGGGCACCCAGGGTGTGGAACGAGGGGTGGGAGGCTGGCTGGACAGGTGCATGTGGAGGGGAGCGTGTGGCGGCTGTTGTCCTTGGGAAGGGGGACCTGCGCTGTGTTCAACTTCAGACTGTATTGCTGAGGGGGCGGGACAAGGCTGAGTGGTGTCAGGGACGGCTCCTCATTCTGCTGGGGGACAGCCATGCCTCCACCTCTGCTGAGTCCTGACCCCTTCTTTGCCGGGTGGTCCAGGTGGTGGCCAAGCTGAGCTGTCTCCTCCCTCTTCTCACCCCCCAGCCTGGGGAACCGCACTGAGGACCTCCCAGGTGGTCCTCTGGGGTCTGTTAGTCCCAGCAATGCCCCTGTCCTCGGGTGAGAAACACACAGCAGGACACAGGGTGTATGCCAGGGCTTGGGTGCCCAGTCAGTGCAACGTGTCATGTTTTCTGCCTTGAGTACAATGTACTGCACGTGCCAGGTGCGGGGTGGGTGGCAGGTCAGAAACCCTGAGTGAAAAAATGCTGCGCATAGACTGAACACCTGTGTCCTCCCCAAATTCAGATGTTGAAATTCTAACCCCAAGGTGATGGTATTTGGAGGTGGGGCCTCTGGGAGGCGATTAGATCTTGAGGGTGGAGCCCTCATGAATGGGGGTTAGTGTCCTTAGAGAAGAGGCCCAGAGAGGTCCCTTGGTCTTTCTGCCAAGTGAAAACACAGGGAAAAGACAATCATCTATGAACCCAGAAACTCATCAGACACAGAATCTGCTGGCTACTTGATCTTGGACTTCCCAGTTGGCAGAACTGTGGTTCCCCGAGCCTGTGATGTTTTGGGATGGCATCTGTAACAGAGTCGTGGCAGGGCTCCTTCTGCATTTCCTTGGCTCTGCCCAGACCCCTCCCTGACCACAGTGAAAGGCAGGGTCAGGGGTAGCTACTGCCCCATCTCAAGGACTCTTGTGTGAGCACACGGTCCTGGAACAGAAAGGAATGCGGGCCAGCCAGACTCCCCTGAGCCAGGAGGTGGCCTAGAGTGCCTGGAAGCTGCCAGTTCCCATCCTCAGAACAGCGCATCTGAATCGCATCTGAATCGGGCATGCCCTGAGATGGGGGATGAACCTGCCTGGGCTGGGGCCTAGGATGACTGTGGGGATAGTGAGGTCAACCCAGTGGATGGAGCCTCCTCAGAGTCTTTGGATTAGCATTTATTGAGTGTCTACTGTGTGCTTAGGTCTGCTCTGGACACTCTTCTCACCACCTCACCTGGTCCCCAGCTCCCGGTGAGTCCCGAGTGAGGATCGCCTGTATCCCGCCTCCCAAGTGTTAGGATGCAGATTTCCCCCTTCCCAGGAGACACCCTCTAGGCCAAGGGCTGGGAACTGGGGCGCGGGGGAGGAAGGGGGCTGAAAGTATCCCGTGCACAGAGGGCGACGTCGGGGGTGGTGGCAGGCGCCGCCACCTCCTGAAGGAGCTGGAGTTTCCGCGTGGCCCCTGGACGTGGGCCTGGCCCGGAGGCTGGGAGGGGCGTCCGCTCCCCCTCCCTGGCCTCGCTCTCCTCCCACCGCTCCCTCCTCCGGGCGGGGTTCCCGGAACAGGCCGCCAAGGGCGGGGCGAGGAAGCGGTGGCCGTACGGGTCGCTGAGGCTGCCGCCGCACCTCAACCCCTCCTGCTTCTGTCCGTCTGTCCTTCTGTCCGTCTGCCGCCCCGCCATGGCTGCGCGGGTCCCCGCGCTCCGGATCCTACTGCTGCTGCTTCTGCTGCTCCCGCCGCCTCCAGGTGGTGAGCCTTGGGGGTGGGGGCATTTTGTCCCGGGCAGGCACGGTGTGTCTGGGAGGGGGGTTGCCCGGTTCCTGCGTCCCTGGAGTGTGCCCAGGCAGCACCATCCCCACAGTGTCCCCAACCCCCAGTAATCCGGAGGCAGTCAGCCAGCCACCCAGGACCTGACCTCAGCTCCCCTCCGTGTCTGAACGGACCCTAGGAAGTTGCCACCATTATTGTGCCCTGGGTGACGGTGGCAGTGGTGGTGTCTGTGTTCCCTCAGATGTTCGGAAGGATTGGGTCCCCAGGGGCTGGGGTGGGAGTCCCTGCCTGGTCTTAGCCTAGGGTGGTGGCAGAAGGGAGGCCTGGCCCCCTCCATCAGAGGCCTTCCCTTCAGCCCTATATACTGGCTGGCTCCCCCACCCGCTGCTCCCATGGCCCTTGTGTTCCTGGAGATGGCTGAGGCTGGCCTCCCGGGTTGGAGGAAACACCACTGTGTGTGTTGATGGTACACTGATGATTCACAGACGGAGGAGGCCAGGCTGGGGGCCATTTCGGGGTAGGAATTGGAACAGCCCCTTGCCCAGCCAGCGGAAGCCAAGTGATCCCTCTGGGGTGAGCGGTTTCCTCAAGGAAAAAGGCTTTATTTCCTGGGGGAGCTGAGATGAATCTGGGGACCCGGGATGGGAAACTGAGAAGGTAGTTCCCTGGTCCGTGGTCCAGTAAGTTCTGGCAACTCTCAACCAGCCTGTCGGGGGCCCAGAAGAGCATTTGTGTCCTGGGCTCTTGGTCCAATTAAGTGGTGTGTGTATGTCTTTGTCCCCAGCTTAGAAGCTGAAAGGACCCTGCTGGAGGGGGGTCACCTGAGTTTCCGGTAGCGTTGGCCAGGCTGACATACTACTGTTGGATGGACAGCTGGTTAGGGGAAGCCTGGGAATGGTCAGGTCCTCTGCGACTCCAGCTTTGCCCAGAGCAGGGTTCTGCCTGAACCTGCCAAGAACAGAGCACCCCTCCCCCGTCCCCTACCCCTTCCTAGTTATCTCTTCTCAAGGAGGTCACTCAGTGCCTCTGTCTTTGGGCCTCGCTCTGTATGTGATGCACTGACCAGGCTGGGTCTCCAGATTCCAGGTGCTGGGCTGGGATGTTTTCCAGGCGACATAGCCTACTTCAGGGTTTATCATTAGACCTGTCCCCAGGCTACCATAATCATCTGGGTCTTGCTGGACTGGGTGTTCTGTTCGGGATCTGTCCAGGCACAGTCTGGGACTGGCCCCCTCCTGCTGGTGGGCACTAGATCTCTGCTCATGTGGTCTAAGGGTGCATGGGAACATTTGGTTATAGCATCTTCCTGGAAGTTTGCAAGCCTGTGGTCTCCCAAAGCCTTGGGTCATTTCCAACACTGGTCAGCCAGGTCCTCTTGGCATGACCTGGAATACTGGAGCTCTGTCCTTACCCCAGCCTGTGGGAAGATCCTTGGATCCTTACTCTGGCTGAGAGCTTTGTAACGGTTCTGGGGCTTGAAGTGGGGCCACTGCCTCGGAGCCCTGGCCACCAGTTGCGTAAACATTTTCTGGGCACCTGCTTTTCATGGACTTTTCTGGGCTAAGCGCTTCATGGACATGTATGGTGGGTATGACCATGGCCCATGGCGAGCCTGGTGTGAGGGTGTGGTCTGTGAGCGCCAGGCCCCTGCACTTCTGTGTCTAGCAGAGACTGAGGCTGCTATGACTGAGTGGTGAGGAGAGGAAGTTAGGGGCTGAGTGTGGATAGAGCTGGAAAGTTGGGGTGACCATCAAAGCCCTTCGCAGTCCAGCCCGTGCTTTATGGACCCTGGACTTGATTCTGAGGCAGTGGGGACCTGGGATGGTCCACGAGCAGGAAGTGGCCCCACCGAACTCCCACTTAGGAAGGCCAGTCTTCCGGCAGAAGCCAAGTGGCTGATGGGGGAGAGAGGGAGCCCGGTTAGCTGCCTCTGCTGTGGGACAGGGGAGAGGGCAAGGCAGATGGGGGCTGTGGCTAGAGGTGGTCAGTGACTGGGGTGGCTCAAAGGCCCCCCAGATGGTTGTCCCTGCTAGCGGTGCTGGGGAAGGGGCTCCGTTGCGCAGGCCATGGCCGAAATCTGGCATGATGCCTGGCCCTGTGGCCCCTCGATGAACAAGGGTGCTTCTCCGCTCCAGCCCACAGTGAGGTGTGTGTGGCTTCCCGTGGACACAACTTCTTCCCAGAGTCCTGTCCTGATTTCTGCTGCGGCAACTGTTATAACCAATACTGCTGCTCCGACGAGCTGAAGAAATTTGTGGGGAACAAGGAAAGCTGCGCAGAGCCCAAGGCCAGGTGGGTGCACAGTGGCCGCAGGGTGGGATGGCTGAGTCTGCACCCAGCAGGAGTGTGCATGAAGGAGAAGTTAGCTCTGCCCCCGGCCTCTCAGGCCCTGCAAGGTGGTAGAGCACTGGACCAGGGATGGGGGGTGAGGGTGTGGAGATCCTGTTCTGGGCTGAACCCCCCCTCCCCGAGAGCTTACTCAGTTAGTCCTCTACCCCTCTTTCCCCAGCCCTCGAGGGCCCCGGCTCACCCAGCTCCCTCAGTCTTGGGCTGAGCAGGTTTCCCAGGGCTGGTGGCCTCAGCCGGCCCTGTGGCTCACCCCTGGGTATGCACCTGGACCAACAAGGTGCACACCTTGGTGTGAGTCTACCCTATAGCAAAGCATGCACCTGGCTGGGGTAGTATGTGACTCGTGTAGGCATCATCTTGTGGGCCCTGGAGCTCACGTCGCACCCTGCACCATGCCCGTGTCCTCTTAGTGTGGCCAGTGGATTTGCATTGCATCATGGGCTGGAAGCAAGGTCTCCCTTTGCAACATCGGGGTTTCTTTTGTGTTTGATCATAGGGATAGAGAGGGTGGAGGGGGTCCAGCTTCTTTGCTTGTGACAGGTGATCGTCACTGGTATGGACAAGACCAGCCCATGCCGTCCTATATATTTAATCTCACATGTCCCTTCCATTTCCCTCTCACCCCATAAGCAACCAGTCTGTATGTCGTTTTCACTGTTTGTGATTGATTGATTGATTGTTTGATTGACTGATTTTTAAGTTAAAGTTTTTTAAACTCTGCACCCAACCTAAGGCTCAAACTCACTATCCCAAGATCAAGAGTTGTGTGGTCTACTGATGGAGTTATTTTGTGTTTTGGAAAGTCTACATTGTTTTGTGGATGCAAGGAATGCCCTTACTTTTTGCATTTGGCTTAGGGTTTATAAGACCCAGTCATACTGCACTGTGTGTATCTGGCCTATGTCCACCCCTGTGGTGTTATATATCACCCCTGGGGTGTGAGTATTAAGCTTGCTGTCATAGATGATCACTGTAAGCATCTTCCTGTACTTTATTCCTCTTTTTTATGGAACCATGTGAGAATTTCTTGGAAGTGTACATGGGAGCAAATTGCCAGGAGAGTGAGATTTATGTAGGACTTCTAAGGTGTTCTTGGGAATGGCAGCCCCTGGCTACATACCAGCCTACCTAGATTCCTGATGGATCAGAGTCCACCCTTTCGCTGGAAGTGAACACCTTTTGGTGTCCTTATATTTTTACATGCGTCTTTTAAAGAAAATCCATTCCAGTAATTTTTTTTTTAAATACACGAGCATTTCATTTAAATTTAATGTAATTATTGATGTTCTGGGATTTTATTTGCCATCTTATTTTGCACTTTTTATTGCTCTCTTCTATTCTCTATTTCTTTCTTCTTCCCTTACCATATTGTTTTGCTTTGTTCTTACTCCATTTTTTCTTCTTCTATTCTTTACTTCTTTTACCTTCTGTATTCCTTTATTCCTTTTTCTTGCCTTGTCGCACAGTCTGGGACTTCCAGTGCAATGTTGAATAGAAGTGGTGAGAGCAGATCTCCCTGTCTGGGTCTCAATTTTAGAGAGAAAATGTACAGGATTAGGTATGATGCTGGCTGTAGCTTTTTCACTGGTGGCCTCTATCAGATTGAGGAAGTTGCCTTCTATTTCTAGTTTGCTTGGACTTGAAGGGATCTTGAATTTTGTTAAATAGTTTCCCTACATTTGTATTTTTTTTTATGTAATTAATCTTTTTGATGGTACTGTAAGTAGTGTAGTTTAGAATTCTTGTTATTTATTGATATAAAGGCAATATATTTTTATAAATTAACCTTGTATCCAGAGACTTTACTAAATTTATGTATTAATTTGAGTGATTTTAATAAAAACTTCTTAAGAATTTTCTACAGAAATGGTCACGTCATGTATAATTAATGTTTTATTTTTTCCATTCCAATTCTTATACTTTTAATTAATTTTTCTTGCTTTATTGCACTGGCTAGGATTTCTAGTGCAGTGTTGATTGGAAGTGATGATAGGTAGCATTCTTGTCTCAGGGGAAGGCTTTCATCATTTCATGGTTAAAAATAATTAAATAAAATCTTTAAAAAAGTGGGGGGCACCTGGGTGGCTCAGTTGATTAAGCCACTGCCTTCGGCTTAGGTTGTGATCCCAGAGTCCCAGGATAGAGTCCCGCATTGGGCTCCCAGCTCCACGGGGAGTCTGCTTCTCCCTCTGACCTTCTCCCCTCTCGTGCTCTCTCTCACTCTCGCTCTCTCAAATAAATAAATAAAATCTTTAAAAAAAATAATATTTACTGTAGTTTGTTTTTTTTTTTTAAGGATACCTTTTATTAGACCAAGGAAAGATTTTATTTATTTATTTGACAGGCAGTGAGAGAGGGAACACAAGCAGAGGGAGTGGGAGAGGGAGAAGCAGGCTTCCTCCCTAGCAGGGACCCAATGTGGGGCTGGATCCCAGAACCTTGGGATATGACATCAGCGGAAGGCAGATGCTTCATGGCTGAGCCACCCAGGTACCCGGTTACTGCTAATCTGATAGTGATACTAAGAACTCTTTTTTTAAATAAATCCTTGGTGCCCTTTAAAGATTTACTTATTTATTTGTGTGTGTGAGAGAGAGACAGAGTGTGTGTGCATGAGTGGTGGGGAGGGGCAGGGAGGGGTAAAGAGAGAATTAAAAAAAAAAAAGATTTATTTATTTATTTATTAGAGAGAGAGAGAGAGAGAGAGAGAGAGATTACAAGTAGGCAGAGGCAGGCAGAGAAAGGGGGGGAAGCAGGCTCCCCACCAAGCAGAGAGCCCGATGTAGGGCTCGATCCCAGGACCCTGAGATCATGACTGAAGCTGAAGGCAGAGGCTTAACCCACTGAGCCACCCAGGCGCCCCAAAGAGAGAATTTTTAAAAAAACATTTTACTTATTTATTTGACAGAGAGAGATCACAAGTAGGCAGAGCAGCAGGCAGAGAGAGGGGGGAAGCAGGCTACCTGCTGAGCAGAGAGCCAGACACGGGGCTTGATCCCAGGACCCTGAGATCATGACCCAAGCCGAAGGCAGAGGCTTAACCCACTGAGCCACCCAGGCGCCCCTAAAGAGAGAATCTTAAGCAGACTCCCCGCTGAGTGCAGAGTCTGACTTGGGGCTTGATCTCAGGACCCCAAGGTCATGACCTCACCCGAAATCAAGAGTCGGGCACTTGACTGACTGAGCCACCCAGGTGCTTCTCCTTGGTGTCTTTTATTTTTTTAGAATTTTTAAAAGATTTAATTAATTTGACAGAGTGAGAGAGCGCAACAAGGGGAGCAGCAGAAGGAGAGGGAGAAGCAGGCTCCCCGCTGACCAGGGAGCCCAATGTGGGACTGTGGGACTCGATCCCAAGACCCTGGGATCATGATCTGAGCTGAAGGCAGATGCTTAACCATCTGAGCCCAGGCGCCCCACCTTGGTGTCTTTTAAAAGAAACATATTTCTGGGGCTCCTGGCTGGCTCAGTCAGAGGAGCATAGGACTCTTGATCTCGGGTTTGAGTTCAGACCCCATGTTGGGGATAGAGATTACTTAAATAAATAAAATTTTAAATGGAACATATTTCTTTTGGGTAAATACCTAGGAGTCAGATTGCCGAGTCATTGGGCACACGTGTTCAGCTTTGGCAGATACCCCCAGTTTTCTTTTTTCTTTTAATTTTTTTTTTGTTTTGTTTTGACAGAGATCAAAAGTAAGGAGAGAGGCAAGGCGGGGGGAGCGGGGAAGCAGGCTCCCTGATGAGCAGAGAGCCCGATGCGGGGCTTGATCCCAGGACCCTGATATCATGACCTGAGCCGGCAGAGGCTTAACCCACTGAACCACTCAGGCGCCCCTACCCCCAGTTTTCTAGCATTGTTGTAGTGTTTACGCTCTTAGCAGCCATGTACGAGAGTTCCAGTTTGCTGTGCCTCCTCTGAAAACTTGGTATTGTAAATCAATTTTTAAAAATTGAGGTATAATTACATGTAATAAAATGCACAAGTCTTAATGTTTCAGTTTGATCAGTTTTAATAAATGCATATTTCTCACCTATAGTACCTCAGTCAAGATCTAGATCGTTTCTATTTCCTAGAAGTTTTAATTTTAGTAATTTTGGTGAATGTGTGGTAAGACCTCATTGTGTTGTTTTCTTTTAAGATTTAAGTGTTCTGAAATTTATTGAGATTCATTTTATGACCCAGCAGATACTATCCCTTGGTAAATGTTTCATATGAACTTGAAAAATGGTATATTCTGCAGTTGTTGGGTGTAGTGCTTTTAGAAGTGTCAGGTCAAGTTGGTTGATAATAGTGTTTAGATCTTTTCTGTCCTTGGGGGTTTTGTCTGCTTGTTTTATCGATTACTGAGAGACTACAGATATGTTCATTCTTCTTTTAGTTCTGTCAATATTTGCTTTGTGAATTCTGATGCTTTGTTATTCGGTGCATACATATTTAGGATTGGTTTGACTTTCTTTTTTCTTTTCTTTTTTTTTTAAGATTTTATTTATTTGATAGAGATCACAAGTAGGCAGAGAGGCAGGCAGAGAGAGAGGGGGAAGCAGGCTCCCCACTGAGCAGAGAGCCCCATATGGACTCGATCCCAGGACCCTGAGATCATGACCTGAGCTGAAGGCAGAGGCTTAACCCACTGAGCCACCCAGGCGCCCCTGGTTTGGCTTTCTGATGAAGTGTTCATTTTATCATGTGTAATGTCCCTCTTTATTTCTTGTAATACTATTGTAAACCTCAAAGACAGTATTTTAATTGGTTTTGACAGTGAATATTTATTTACATTTATCCATATCTCTGTCTTCTCTGCTGCTTCTTCTTGCTTCCTACATCTTTAAGCCTCGGCTGAGATCGGGTTCCTTCTACATCTCATGCAGGTATGCTGGTGTCAAATTTTCTGTTTTTGTTTTTCTGAAAATGTCTTTATTTCACCTGCGTTCTTAAAGGATAT